GAGGACTTTGAGGAAAAGAAAATAGTATAATTAAGAAATATGAAATCCTAAAAGTGTCTTCCTTCCACTGACTTTTTATCAAGAGGTGGTGGTACTATACCTTGGCTCTAGAAACAGACCCAATTTTGAATCTGCTACCAACGGTTTAGCTCACTGATTCCCCTACTTTCTTGTTACACCTACATCTTCTCATTTGTCAAGAGCTTTAGCACCTGGCTCATTCTCATTTTTCTGGTCTTCCCTTGGAGAGATTTCAGTGTACACATAGGGACCCTTCCAACCTTGGCTTCAAGGTTCAATTGTCTTGCTAGAACCCAACATGGATGGATGAGTAGAATTCTGACCAATCTCCCTCAGTCAACTCCTAGACTACTACTATCTTTTGTCCTTGTTGGTTGTTCTCCCTGGTATTTGACCTAAAAAAACCTTCAATACCCTGGAGTTTCCAATTCACTGATCATATGATGTTTTTGCTGATCTTCATTCCTATTTGTCCTGTTTCTTGAGCTTAACTTCTAAGATCAATTACTATACCTATACTTTTGCTCTTCTTTCTTTATTTCTGACCATATCCAACTCTGCTTTTCCATGCTGTACCTGCAAGCTCAATGTGGCTGGAGGAAAATTCACAATGATGCTGATTCACAATGATGCTGGTCACATTTCAAATTCATGACAATGAATTATGCCATAGTCTAGTCACTCTTCTCTCTAGATAAATATTTCATGGCTTCTTTTCTCTTCTCAGATTCCCACTGCCCCATCCTCATGTTCACTTGATAATCTTGATTTCTGTTTCACTGAGAAGACTGGAGCAATCAGAGGAGAATTCCATATCTCTCACTATCTCTTTTACCCACCTACCAGCATGCACATGCTCACACTGTTTTCTGGCTGGTTTCCTCCTCTTCCTCCACTCAGCAATTCTTCTTTCTATCCCCTGAATCATCAGTGTTTGCTCCCTCGTAGATCATTCACATCAGCATGCACACATGCTTCTTTTTCTACTATTTTAAAAATGTTTTCTTTGACCAACTTTCCCCATTATCCATTATTCCTTTTTTTTTTTGAAGAAAAATTCCACAAAAGAGTTATGTATACTTGCTGCTTTCACTTTCTCTCTATTTTTTCTCTTAAACCCCTTAGAGCCAAGCTGTCACTTGACCACTGAAACTTTCTTTTCTTTGTTTTTGGGGCAAAATTCCTCAAAAGGATTGTCAGTATCCACTATCTACAACTTCTTTCCTTCTAGTCTCTTTAAAACCTATTCAAATCCTTACCACTCCACTGAAAGTGCTTTTATTGAGTCACCGGTAATTATTTCATTGTAAAATCCAATGGTTAATCCTCAGGCCACATCTTCATTGACTGAACAGAACCACACAAAACAGGTGAACATGTCCCTTTGTATATTTGGCTTCCAACACATTGCATTCTCTTGGCTTCTATCCTACTTCCCTATCTTGCCTCAGTTTCCTATGCTGGGTTTTCTTCTTCTTGACCTTGTAATTTTGCAGGCCATAAGCCTCAGTTTATCAATATTTCCTCCTTTGGTAATCTTGTCTAGACCCCCAGCTTCAAATACCATATAACATTGATTATGCCAAAATATGTATCATCATCTCAGACATCCCTTGAGCTCCAAACTCATAATGTCTATTTGTCATCTTAACTCTGTTGTCTAACAATTGCCTCAAGTTTAATACGTGGAAAAACAGAGTTTCCTGCAAAGCTCTCCATCACAATTTTTTCCATCTCTCCTTCTAGCAACTTCCATCCTACAAGTTGCTCAGGTCTAAAATCTTGGAGTCATCTTGACTTCTCTTTCTCTTATAGTCTACATCCAATTCAACATCCACCTCCACTGCTATGATCTGATCTGAGAGATCTGTTACCTAGATTACTGCAATATCCTGCTAAAAGATCTCTTTGAATCTACTATTGTTTCTATACAGCCTATTTTTCAACCAGAAGCTAGAGAGATCCATGTAAAACACAAATCAGATTTTGAGTCCTCTGCTCAGTCTTGTAGGAGGTTCCCATTTCACTAAGAATAAAAACCAAATTTCTTGCAATAGTCTATAAGACCCTGCTTGATCTAGCCTCCTTCATTCACTCTGCTCTAGCCACACTGGCCTCCTCATTCCTCTTATGCCCCATATATACTCATAGAGCCTCTGCTTACCTCTTTCTGTAATGCTCTTCTCCAAGATTTCCACTTAGCTAACTTGCTTTACATCTTTCATCTTTGCTAAAACTTCATCTTTGCATTGAGGCTTCTTCTGACCACCTAGTTAAATATTACAATCTGCTTAGAATTCCCTACCCCTGGAACTCAAAAATCTCTTACTATACTCTATTATTTTTTCCATAATATGTGTGACTTTCTAATATGTTATACTGTTAACTTGCTATAGTTATTATTGTCTTTCTCCCTTGCTAAAACAAATTTCAAGAGGGACAAATCCTTTGTTCTGGTCATTGATATATTCTAAGGGGCTAGAAGACTGCCAGGAACACAACAGGTATACAATAAATATTTGTTGAGCATTTAATAAATATAAAAGTGGATTATAGCCAGGCATGGTGGTGCATGCCTGCAATCCTTACACTCAAGAGGCTGAGGCAGAAGGATTGCTATGAGTTCGAGGCCAGCCTGGGCTACACAGTGAGTTCAAGACCAGCCTGAACTACGTAGTGAGACCTTGTCTCAACAAAACAATGGATTATGTGTTCCTTGAAGGGTGGGTAGTATTTGTCTCAAAATCTTTTTAGCCTCATGGCATTTTGTATAAAGACATTTTTATCCAAATATCTGATTCAATTTATTTATTGTCTCTAGGTCTACTTATGTTTTCTATTATATTTCAGGCAGTGTTGATGAATTAAACATTTTTATGTAGTCATACATTTCATGTAATTTTGAATATATATTGATGTAAAGCTGACCAACATGCTTTGATTTCTTTAAATCACAACTATGATCATACTTTTTATACCAAATATTGCTTATTCTTCTCTCTTGCTTCTTTTATTATGAATATTTGGTTTATATTATATATGATCTTTCACAAATTTCTGATTATCATTATTTTTTCTCCACTTTCTTTGGTCAAAATGTTTTATTTTACACATTACTCAATTTATATTCTGTAATGGGTAATACAATCTTTCCAGTTTCCTTCCCCTTATAGGCTCTGGATAAGATTATACTTCCCTGTCCTCTTGAAGTTAGTTAGGCAAAGCTAGCTCACTAATTCTGGCTAATAATAATTCTGGCTTTACTACTTTTGATGGACATGATGTATTTAAAAACTTATGCATGGGCGAACAGAGTAGCAACCAAATATTGACCATAAAAGGAGAAAGAGAGAATAAGTAAGCAGTACTTAGAATATTTTCAACAAACAGTGCTGGGTCAATTAGATATTCATATGGAAAAACAAATCATGATCCTTATCACACCATTTATAAAAATCAGTTCCAGATGTGTGGTAGTTATAAATATTAAAGATCTTGGAAAGGCAAGATTTCTTAAATAAAACAACAGCAATAAACCCCAAACAACAACCATCAAAAACAAAAAGACCAAAAATACTCCTGACTAAATTAAAGGAGAATATGATGAATTGGAATATGTTAAGATTAAAAACTTTTAGGGCCAGGGATTTAGCTCAGTGGTTCTGGTGCCTGCTGCGCAAGCGCAAGGTCCTGAGTTCAATCCCCGGTACCAAAAACAAAAACAACAACAACAAAAAAAAAAGATTAAAAACTTTTGCTCTTCAAAAGACACCATTAAGATACTGAAAAAATAAGCCAGAGTGGGGGACATTTCAATACATATATCTGAGAAAGGACTAAGTATCTAACCTGTAAAAAGGATTCCTATAACTCAATATGAAAAAGAATACTCACAGAAAAATGGGGAGAAGACATGGACACGACACAAAAGAAGTTGTCCAAACAACTAGAAAACATGAAAAGTTTTCAACTCGTTAGACACCAGGTAAATGCAAATTAAAACCACCATGATATACCATTATATACCCACTAGGAAGCTAAAATAAAAGAGATGGATAAGTCAGAGAGAGAGACTATCCAAAAACTGAAGAGCGTGTCTCAGAAGACTGAAAACTGGATCTCCAGAGACTGAGGGGTCATGGTGGTGCAAAGGTCACTTGCCTGAGGGTGTCTGTGATGAAAACAGATATTCAGCCCCCCACCCCCCACCCCTGCCCCTGCTATCTGGCTGCTTCCAACATGAGCTCTCTGTATTGGATCCAGAAGACCCTCCCTACTAGCTCCACAGCCTCACCACTCCTAGTGATGCCCTTGGAGGAATGCACCAACACCAGCATCAAAGGCTCTGGGAGGGCAGCCCCAGCTTCCAGAGGAAGGAGATTCCAACCCCACCCAGTACCCTGCAGACTTCCCTGATCCTAGCCCATGAAGGTCATGGTCATATAGTCATATAGTGGGGCAGGCACAGAGTGCCTGGAAGTAGCCTCTGCTTCAGTGGCAACAGACAGTAGCCTCAAAAATGGTATCAGGTTGGAGAGCTGCTTGGTCCAGGTGGGCAGAAGGCCCTAGAAACCTTTGGCACATAGAAGTTGGCCTCTGAGGGCATAGCTAGGGCAAAGGTCAAGGACGAGAAGACTGAAAAGTGCACCATCTTCTCAGAAGCAGTGAATGAGGACAAGATGGCTGAGAAGCCAATTGATGAAGAAATGAAAGTGGTAGAAGAAAACAAAGGGATAGGGTCCTAGGCCCCTCACTGTGGATCTCCATATGGCCCCTGCCAGAGGCTATCCAGCTGGAACTGGACACCTTGAATGCTCGGGCTATGCAGGCCTTCCTCTTGTGGAGGGCCAAGTTTTGGCAGTAGTATCTGAAACAGAGGAACCACATCATTTAGAACATCCCTGACTTATGGGTCACTGCTCTTTGAAATTACCTGCAACTGTCTGCAGAGAATAGAGACCAAGGTGTGACAATGTTAAAATACTTAACCAATCTGGAGGTGAAGGAATTTAGATACCCTAGGACAAGTTGCAAGTTCAAGTTCTTCTTTCAGAGAAACTCCTTCCTAAGAAACAAGCTGATTATCAAGGAGTATGGGGTCAAATCCTCCAGCCAAGTGGAATCTCTTTCACACTGATTATATGACACTTGGGGCCATGAACCTCAGTCCTTCATTCAAAAGAACCAAGATGTTATCTGCAGCTTCTTTGCCTGGTTTTCAGACCACAGCCATCCAGGGTGTGACAGATTGCTGACATTATCAAAGAAGACCTTTGGCCAAATCCACTACAATACTACCTGTTGCATGAAGGGGGCCCATAGAGCCAGATATCACCAGATAAGAGCTACTAGAGATCCTCAGACCCTTTGGGTCCAGTATGATTAATCTTTGCCCTTGGGATTACTCCTACAAAAGGTCACTTATCACCTCCTCCTGGATCTATGATTGGACAACAGTTATCAACATGGCTTTTACTTTGTTTTGCTGACCTTTGAATAGCCTATATCTTTTAAAGTTTCCTTTGTTTCTACCTCAAGATTGAGACCTTCATGGCTATGCTGCTCCATTTCTAAGTGGTCTTTATGCTATTCTGTATATATCACATGATTCCTGGACATAGCTTACACCCTTTGAAGCCAAACAAATGATGCTGCAGATTTCACTGTTCCTATCTGTGCTATTTGGATCTCATTTGTTTCCAGGGCTTCTGGTCTGGCTAGTGCTACCTGGATTTCTATGTCTAGGAGCCTACTGTACTCACCCTTCTCTGCATTTAGCAAGGTAGTATATGGCCTTTGGATGGTTGTCAGGAGCTAATGAAGTCAAATGAGAGAAACAGTACTACTTGGTCTGTGATTTATGTGACTCACCAGTTTTTTCTATGTATCTGGTCACCTATTGTTGTCTGCTGCAGGTTATCCCCACCTTCTTGAACTGCTGCCTGCTGGATGAACAAAATTCCAGACCATTGTTAGCTCCACTTTCTGGTTTCTGGTAAACAAGCATCTCTAAAACAGGTGATAGACTGATATTTTTCTGCCAAAGATCTTTCCGTTCCTTTTCCAAATGGCCTCTCAATTTTTTACTTCCATCACCAACTACCTTCATCACCCAGGAATCCATCTGACTGGACTGTGGTTGGCTTAGATGACATGTTCGACCCTATTCTCATGTAAAGGGTAATGATGGTATTCTTGCCAAAACCAGACTTTCTCAGTTCTGACCAGTGAATTTATACAAAATCTAGGTACCTTTACTTCCTTCCCTTCCTCAATTTGAAAATGATTAAATGCCAGACATGGCAAAAGCAGGTATATACTTTATTTTCAATGTCTCCCAGATCTTTCTTTTTTTTAAAGATGGTAGCTCAATGTCATTACATTGTATACCTAAAATGTACCAATAAAATTAACTAAAAAATAGTAAAGATGGTAGCTCAAAAAAACCTGCAAAACTAGGTTTTTTAGTTTAATTTAGCTCCCTTTATCATTTCCAGAGGCAGAGAAGTTGTCCTGTTAAATAGACTGCAAGAGCTCTTATGCCAAGTCTACTTTTTCCCCGGCTTCTTGATCTCCTTGAACAATGCCTAGAAAGTTACAGAGATACAGATCTAGATGGAATGAAAGGTGATTTCTAGTTCAAAGAGGCTAGAAGAACTAAAGAAACTGGTGGATAGGTAATGTAAGCAGGGGAAACTGAACAAAAGGCCAGAGGTGAAGCAGAGCCAGGGGAAAACTGGGCCTAGAAATAAGACTGGGTTGATTAACAGCCTATCAGGAAGGGGTAATTACTTTGTTAGTGGTGCTGGGAGGAGAAACACTTGTCTCAGAATTGAGATGGAAGAAATGAAGGTGGGTGGAGTGTTAAATACATTGCCTAGAGAAGAATTTTGTGAAGAAATACAAACAACATATCTTTGAGTGTTTTCATGTGGCCTTGTTTATGCAGAAGATTAATATTGTGCCCTTAATGTTTTATTAAAATCCTACTACTTTTTATGTTTTTGCTTACTGGGAATATTGAGTTATATAGATTTGTTGTTAGTTGGGAACATTTGGAAGAATAGCATATCTTTTCTGTACAACATAGATTTATGTGAATATTCAAAGAGTTTTTCATTCATTTTTGTTAAAATTGTGTGCTAAAAAATTGAATTTGAATAACTTCATTTGTTAGACTCTGAAGACTAGAAATTGTTGTCATCATGGAAAAATAACCTAAAAAGGGCTGCACTCGTTGACTGTCTTACTGATAATTAGCACTGATAACAGCTTAGTCATTGATATTTCCTTCCTAAATAGGCTAAATACTGTAAATTTTTATGTGTACCACTGCCACATTTGTCTTTCCCTATGGCATTATGGTGAAATAAAAGATTGCCACTTTTAACAAAACAAAAATGGTAAAGCAGAAGGAGGAGGAAGAACAGGAGGAAAAGAGAAAAATAATCGTGGATAAAAAGTACACTCTCTGCTGGTGGAAAAGTAGTCTGGTACAAATACTTTAGAAAACTGTTTGGCAGTATCTATGCACACACACTGTCTAATCTAGCTCTGAGGAGATATTCAACAGAAATGGACACATACATTCACCTAAAGACATGGACAGAAGTTTTTATACCAGCACAATTTCATTCATTTAGCAGTACTGGAGACTAAACTCAGGGAGCACTGAGCTACATTCTCAGCCATTTTTACTTTCCTCATTTTGAGATAGGGGCTCACTAAGTTGTCCAGGCTGGTCTTGAACTTGCAGTCCACTTGCCTCTGCCTCCCAAATAGCTGGGATTACAGGTGTGCATCCCTCTGCCAACAAACCGCACAATTTTAATACGAGACCTTGGGAGCTTCCCCAGTGTCCATCAGTTGCAAAACAACAACAACAAACAAACAAACAGATGAGTTTTAAAATATTCACAGAATGGAATGCTGAGTGCTGTGAGAAATAAAGAACTATGCCTTTATAGAACAATAATATGAATCAATTTCACAAATATGATGTTGGATGTAAGAATATAAAAGTACATGCTATATAGTTCCATTAATTTATGTTAGAAGAAATCAGAATAATAGTTACTACCATGAACAATGCTATCATACATGCCTGTAATCCCAGCAGTCTGGAAAACTGAGGCAGGAGGATCACAAATTCAAGCTCAACCTGGGCAACTTAAGGAGGTCATATCAAAATAAAAAACCAAAAAGGGCTAGGGATGTAGCTCAGTGCTAATGCACTATGTTCAATCCCCTATTACCACTAACACCACCTTTTTAAAAAATCAGTTAATGGTGACAAAAGATCTTATAACTGAACATGAAGTGCCAGTATTTGTGTCAGTTTCTTGAGCATTAATTTCACAAGGCAAAAATGAAGAAATCCAGGAGACATTTGCATACATAGGGAACTATATGGGGAAGATCCATGAATCTTGAATCTTTCATAATGGGCAGTAAGCATGCCCACACTTTATTTTGAAGAGAAACAGGACCTCTGCCATAAACTAGGCATTTACTTGAGCAAACCATTTAATCCCAAGAAAGCAGTTTTCCTTATTTTTTAATAAAAGACTTGGAACGTGATTTCTTCTAAATCTAAAGATTTACCTACCCTGAAATATAAACTTTCCACAAGCTTCAGAGGGCTCCACTGGCTCTGTCTGTTCTGTTCCTAAATGACCTCACCCACAGCCAGAGCTTCTGCCATTACCTCTGAGATAAGGACCCTTAAAATGGAATCTGACCCTTATCCTAGACAGGCTCTGACATGTCTGTTTGCACAGTGTTTCCAGAATTGCTCCCCTTCAATATCTATTTTCACCTTAATTACCTCTAATCTACATTACTGGAAATCTTCACATTGCTCTTCCTGAATCTTATATCTCTTTTCCCATCATCCACATTATTGACAAAATGATCAAGTATCTTTTGTTCAAATTTTCTTCTCAAAACAAAAATGCCTGCAGTTACAACCAAGCTCCTGGCTGACATTCTGGCCAAGAGTCAATTCACAGGGAGTTCCTTTCAAATTCTACTCAAAGGCTATCTGCTCTAAATAACTTGCTCCAAACACCCCTATTATAGCATACACCATATTATTTATTCCATGCAAATTTATATTGAAGTTCATTCTTTATATATGCTAGTAGTTTATATTTTTGTCACTCAATTTATATTTTTGTCACGTCAATTTCCTTAAGGGCTAATATCATGGGCTTTTTTTTTTAACTTTGCTGTATTGGGGACTGAAGCCAAGATACCACACATATTAAGTGAATGCTGTACCACTGAGCCACACCCCAAGCTCTTTTTTAAATTTTATTTTAAGACAGGGTTTCTCTAAGTTACCCAGGCTGGCCTCAAACTTATGATTCTCTTGCCTCAGACTCCCAAATAGCTGAAATTACTGGTGCCAGCACATCTGGCAAGATCATGATTTAGTTATCTTCTTAAGACACAATTCCTATTCTCAGACAGCAAAGTCGACCTTAGGAGATAGGCAGTTAATCTACAGTGTTAGAAATGCTAAAATAAGTACAAGCATAGAGTGCAGTGGGTCCACATAAAGGAAACATTTCCTACACCTAAAGATTAGGGAAATCTTCCTATCAGAGATAGTTTTCAAAATTCCATTCTAGATACCAAGGTAGACTGTAAGCTTCAGTGTAGGGAACTATCTTTTCATCTGTGCATCCCTAGGACATAGGATTGTGTCTGGCATAAAACAGATACTCCAAAATTACTTAATGGTACATCAATAAAAGACTACCTAATCCATTTTAGCTACAAAAGTGTAGAATAGAAATATTAGTGTTTTGAATTTTAGTTATCATGTGGTCAATAAATATTAATTGGCTAATGAAAACCTAAAAAAAATTCATAATAGCTGGGTGTAGGGGTGCATGCTTATAATCCCAGCACTTGTGAGGCTGAGGAGAAGGATCACTGTGAGTTCGAGGCCAGCCTGGGCTACACAGAATCCAAGGCCAGCCTGAACTACATAGTGAGACCCTGTCTCCAAAAAAAAAGAAGTTCATAACATATTTAGGATTTAGATAAATGTTAATAGATGTGGTTTCCAAATAATTCCTAAGGAAGAAGAGTCAGAGCAGAGACTTTGATCAAATATTTGCAAGTATGTTAGTTCTAACTCTCAGAAAGAAGGGTATATGGATAAATGATTTGTTCTGCAATTATAGGCCCAAATTATGTAGAGCTGTCACTTTTACTCTTTAATCTCTAAAGTAATAGAAGTTAAAAGAATAGCCATCATGAAGAAATCAAATAATAACCAATACTGGGGAAGCTGCAGGGGAAAAAGGAAACCTTCTACCTTGTTGGTGGGAATGTAAGCTAGTACAACCACTGGAAATCAGTATGGAGATTTCT